GCAAAAAGTCTGGAGCCGGCTTGGCTATAGGAGCAGCAACAGTAGCAGGAATACGCAGCAGTGTAGTAACCAAAGGCGGCGGAAATGTGGAGCCGAAGAAAACAAGCCGAATGCAAGCGTTGACTAAAAAGAAGCTGAAAGCAAATACTACTGAGGAGGAGCCGACCAAGAAGTCCAAAAAGATGGGCAAGCACATGAAGGAAATCATTGACTATTCGCACCGCAATAACAATGTAGGCGGCGGCGATGATGCCTCAAATCTATCAACAAGCAACAATCACAGTAATACCTTTGGCAAGGTGCAAAAGTGGCTGTTGGAATCACCCATTGTGGCACAGCCGCTGTCGCATATGGAGCATAGCTCTCGTGTGCGCAAGGTGATGAGCAAGTCGCAATCAACACCCGAACGGCTGGTGCAAAAAACGCCTCAAAAAACTAAGTCCATGGGCAATCTATCAAATGAGAAAGTCAAGCTTCAGGTCGTCTACAAGCCGCCCTTCAAGTTCTCGCTGCGTCTGTCGAAGAAGCCCAAGGTTAAGACGCACGTGGTGGGCGTAAGCGCTGGCGCACGTCCAAAGCGTGCACAGAAGGCCAACAACAACAACAACAACACTCGCTCCAGTGGGCAGGCGGCCACAACATCCAAGGGAGCGTATACAGAGCGCACTAAGCGCACCGCTTTGCTGCTGTGCAACGAAGCGGAGGACGAAAATCAAATACTGACTCTCAACGAGCCAAACTACGAGACTCTAAAGCTGCCTACGCGCAGCTCAGAGCACTGCTATGAGAATGTAGAGCTGCCCGGCGGCAGTGCAAGCGCTGAAGCTGCAGTGACATCCACATCCAAACCAGGCAGCAACAGCAGCAGCAGCGGCGTTAGCAAAATAGCGCCCAACTCCAAACGCGCCAGCTTGGAGCCTGCACCTGTCGCTCCAACGCAGCGCAGCTCTTATCGGCGCTCCAGCTCGCTGTCCGCACACAATCCGTTTGCGGTGGCGCCGCGTCGTAGTAGCAGCAGCAGCAAAGCGGGCAAGCATGAAGCGCAGCCCGCCGGCGGCTCCATAAATCTGACGCGTAACTTTGGCAGCACGCAGAATCTGATCAATCTCAGTCAGAATATGGCCAAGTCTAAGAAGCGCAGCAGTCTAAATCTGAAAGCAAGTGCAGCCAAAAACGGCAAAGATCCGCCTACAGCAACAGCTACAGTAGCAACAGCAGCAGCACCATCCCAACGTCGCTCCTCTTCCAATACGAATCTGCGCAGAAATAGCAGCACCTCCAATGCGACGCCGCAGATAGCGCCGGTACCGCCTACACGGAACACGCGTAACAGCTTCAGCAATATTCCACGAGCCAGCCTTAACGGCCAGAGCAGCGCCTCCGTAGCTGCAGGGGCGACGGCGACGTCAACGCCGGCGCCCAGCTTCTCGCGTCAGTCCTCTAGCAGCACAACGACAACGACGTCCGGTGGATCCCCGCCACTGCCGCTGCCCCTGCAGCAGTCCGCCTCCACAAGCGCCATGGTCAGCCAACGGCAGGTGACGCAGCCAATGCGACGCAGCCTAAACAATTTCAGAGCACGCGCCTCCAATGGGACAGCTGCACCAACACCAACAACGCTGGACAACGAGCTGCCATCGGATCTGGAGGTGGTTGTCTCCGACATTGAAAATCTGGTTAGCTAAGAGCAGCGCTGTTCGTATACATTTCAAAGCAACCAAGTGAAAGTGATAAGTCCTAAAGTTAGTTATACAAATTGTCGCATAGGTTTACATGCATATATATATATATATATCAACTTAGATTTGTATATATATATACATATATATATACATACATACATATATGTACTTTACACTGCCTTAAACTTGCCGTTTCTGCTGAATATGTGAATGCCACGCCCCGCACACAACGAAACACCACACACCCAAAACGACCACTAAAACCGCATTAATGAAAAGAAAGTATAGTTATCTTCGGATTGCCGAAGCTCAAATACCCTTGCAAGCATATAGGAGAGTGCAATATATATTTCTAAGCGAAGCCACACGGCGGTCAGGTTTGTCTTAATATCGGTCTGATTGGATTCCTATAAGTTTTGCTAATATGAGCATAGTAAAGTTTGAAATTGTCAAGTTCGGTCTGCATATACTGCAACAAAACAAGACGACCAATGCTTACTATAGAGCTATATTGTAGTCCTATGCCAGTAAAATAAAAGCATTGTGGAGCTTATCATTCCCAAGCTTAGTTTGAATATCTAAAAGCACAAAAAAATGTATATGCGCCGAAACTCAATTTTCGAAAGATAGCTTCTATGACACCTCTATTATATAGTTGTCTGATTTGGCAGACTTCGACATACATATATACCGTGGGAAAAAGATGGATCCAAGTTTGCCCAAGATAACTTTTAAATTAAGACAAAAGTTTGTTTAGAAACAGACAGGAAGGCTAAATGAAGCTGCTTGAAGAATATATATATTTTATAAAGTCCTAAGATTCCCCTTCTATAGGTTACACATTTCGTGACAAAATATTATAGTCCCTTCTGCAAGGGTATTTAAAAACGCTAATAACGCTAGTGCTTACGGCTCCATACATACTCACACACAACTCGACCCCATAAAATGCTCACCCACCCAACACACCCAACACCACCGCCACCGCCGAAGCCAGATGCACTCACCGCACATTGTACCTTTTACATACTATTTAACTGTATTTACTGTTGTATTGTATTCGTGATCTATAAACTATAACTTGTAACTGTAATGTTTTGTCTATACCTACTATGTGAATTGTGTTAAGTTGTCGAAATACGATCGTGTTATATGTGACTTCCATTTTAAAAACTGTCTTAAGTTTGAAGAATACAAAATCAGCTTAAGCAATAACTATTTTTGTAATGAAAGAAAAGTGAATACAATAGACCGATCAATAGCTAGTCTATCAATCATATATCGCATACCAACGAAATTCGATCGCTTTTATTGTATAGATTCCTACATACTTAGTATTATGTTATGTGTCCATCTGATATCTTATTTTTATCATATTCTTAACGCTTCAAAACAACGACCACTGTCATCTATAAACTTCGACACACAGAACAACAATACAAGGTGCTATTTTAGTAAGGATTGAAAACAAAAAAGCAAAACAAGAAGAGTTAAATTTACCTACAAATTTTTTAAAATACTCTTATAAATATTTTCCAAGAAGATCAAAAATGATTATAAGATTTGTAGTTGAAATAACAGTGTAGCCAAGTGGGGTTAGCCCGGGGAAGTTGCAAATAATATACATACATACAATTATATTAGTAACAAATATAACCAACGATAACTGTCAATAAATCAAAAGTAAAATGCATCGAAACGTAGGATATAGTAGTCGCAACAGAATCAAATAAAGATCTTTAAGCAGTTTAGCAAACCCGCTCCACACTCCCGCAGTCACACCCACACACACACACAAATGCCTGCGCCATTCTTAGTAGAGTAGTGTATATAAGAAATCAAGTCGAAAGATAAATAGTTTTTATATGCAACAAAAACAAGTTAGAGAGCAATGAAGAACAAACACCTAAACGATATTCATACTATAGTCACGTAGCGTATCAAATCACAAAATAAGGCAAACGGCTTGCAAAAAATTAAAGAAAATCCCCATTCCTTAATAACTAGAGATGTGTAGTATAAGATAATTGGAGTAATCCCTAGTTAAATATAGTAGCATATATGTATGTAAGCAATGTGTTGGAAAATTTGCATTTATTGAATTGCGCATAGTTCTGATATGTATTTGCATGGCTGGGTACAATACTTACAGACGGGGCGGGGCGTGCAATGAGCACTTGGGTATATTTTTATGAAATATACAACGCATATATAGATAGACATAAGCACAGCTCAAATGATCGACCCAACAAAAGGAAAAAAGACAGTTAACGTAAACGCGTAGGCATGTTATTAAACAGAAAAGTAAAACGAAAAACAAGAAGAAAAAAGTACGCGACAATCGCTTTGAAATGCTTATTAAACACAACTAAAATTAATAAAAACTCGAAATTTAGTTTTAAGTTTGTCTAAACAAAAAAAAAAACAAAAGCTTGAGCGAATACCTATTGATAACTATTTAAATATGAAACTATACAAGGCGCAGATTCTTTTTTTAACATCAAAGTATCGGCAATATCATAAATTTTACCAAAAAAATATATAAAAGAAACGAAAAAATGGCCAATGTTTATGTATTGTACATAATAATAAATGCAAAGAATTATTATCTAAGCTGAAAGTATTTTGAGCGTGAAAGAAAAAGACTATTTAGCGCGAAAGGAACCATTTTTGTGTATTGTACATAAGAAATTTATTGATTTTTAACTATATATATATATATATATATACATTTCAAATATATATATATATACATATACATATGTAATAATTTAGTCGTAAAACTGCAAAACGATTTTGAAATCTGTGTGTGTACCTCAATTGTAATTATTTTTGTTCGTGTATTTTACTTTGATAAAGGTTTTGCACGCTCTATACTGATTTGATAACTATTTTTTTTTATTATTTAGCTAAATGAAATATTTTCAACCCCTCGCAGAGAACCGTACCCCGTAGTTAAATAAAGAATGTTTTAAATGTTGTCAAAGAACGTATCAAGTATGAAAAGTATTTCTGTCGTCAATTAATAACTCGTAAATCGAAAGCCGAAAAGCAAAAACAAGCATAATTTAAGTACAATAATTCATAAATATATTTTAAGTTGTAAACAGAGAGAGCAAATGTGTGACACTTATGTTGTACTTAACATTAATGGTATGAAAACAGTAATTATTTAATTTATTTTAAAATATTATCATTAACAATATTATGCGAAATGTAACTAATTTTTTAACACTGCACACGCATTGCAATATTTTTATAATTTTCTCATTTTAAGCAAAATTTAAATAACAATAAAAAAAAAAACAAAACTAAAACTTACACAAAAGCAACACATGTTTTTATTTAGCTTTTTTCTCCGCCTTCTCCAATTTTAAGGCACGTTTCGCCATGATCCAAAAATAGACGGATGGTAAGAAATGACGCAAATAGTAGGCGATTTTTGCCTGAAGATCGCTGACAATAATGTCGGGTTCCTTACGCATGACGCATTGTAAAATGCGCTCGGCCAACTTATCGGGCGACATGCCTTTGGCCGTAGTTTCGTCCATTTCTGGTGAACGAAAAGAAAAAAATGACTAGCTGGTGATTGCATGTTAATTACAGTTTTACTGACTGCCGTAGCTGCTGCCTGCTCCGGTCAAGGCGTTCATCGAGAGCTGTGTGCGTATGTAGCCAGGACTGACGCAGGAGACGTACATCTTTTTATTGGCCACCTCAGCACGCAGAGAATCGGCGAACGCCTGCAGTGCATGCTTGGAGGCCGAATAGGCTGCACGTTGGGGTATCGCAAACTTTCCTTGCACAGAGCTAATGAAGCATATATGACCACTTTGACGTTTTACCATTGACGGCAAAAGCGCTGAATGGATGCAGATAACAGTTAGGTCATTAACTTTATTGCTAATTGTGCTTTAGCAAACCTTTTGTTAACGCCACAGTTCCAAAGTAATTAACAACCATGACCTTAAGATCGACATCGAAAGATGTTGAGGCAACATCGGCACGCACGCTGATGCCACCATTGTTAATCAGGATATCGACTTGGTTGTACACCGCCAAGGCGCGACTAACGAAATCTGGTATCGAATTTAGTTCGGCCAGATCCAAAGCCAGAACAGTGGGCGGATATGCGGGATCCTGGAAACAGCTATATGTAGTTAACAAAGTTTTTATGGAACACGTGTGTACTCTTACCACGTCCAACGCCAGTAGATCCGACTTTACGCGTTCCAGCTCCTGGACTCGACGAGCAGCCAAGATTACCTTACAGCCTGCTCTATAGAAGACATGTGCAAGGGACTCGCCCAGACCAGAGCTGGCGCCCGTTATAAGAACAACCTAGAGGATGTAAACAAGTTATAATAAAGCAGTTCATATATTTATTTATGCTCTTTCAACCTTGCCGGGTAACTGGTTGCGGTATTTCTGAGCGCGAAAGCGTTGCCACAAGTTGATTATTGCCAAAGGCAATGCTACCGGCATTAGAATGCTACCAAGCACCCAGTAAAGCACATTCCAATCACTGCTGGGTGCGCATTTTTCTACTTCATGTAATTTCATAATAAACTCCTTATTGAAGCACGAAGAACTTTGCACTACTGCAAACAGAAAATACAAAAACAAATGCAGTAATGCCATTCACATTTGATGCGCGTTTTGTTGTTGAAAGCTGGTTTTATCTTGTGAAGAGCATTTCGCGTGTTACCGTAGCACTGTGAGTGTCAGAATGCACAGCTGATATTTGTTACGTTGAGTTTTTTGGTGGCCCGCTTCCACTTAATAATTGTTATTTTATTTTAAAAAATATGTTAAAATGCAAAGCCTGTTGAGACAAAGTCATCGGCTAAGTTGCTGTCTACCAGCAGCACAAATTCACACCACAGCCGTGCAGTGCACATTTTGGGAGCGAGAAAAGAAATCAGGCTACAAAACACAACTGCCGGAGCCCTCGAAAAAGCAGCTCATAATAGATGGATTACGGGATTTAAAAAAAGAAATTAAACTGTGGCGCCAGGAAGTTAAGGAGCAGCTGGAAAGCGATCCCATATTGGTATTTCGACCCGGTGAAACGGACATTGTATTCGATTTTAAAGCGCCGGACGTACTCGATAAGTGGACGGTGACAACAGATGCCGATCATGGGGAAGGTAGAAGCAGCGCCACATTAGAGTTAAGTGCATCGGGTGCGGGACTCTTTCACGGCGAGGTAAACTCGCAACACACCAAGGATGGCATTATAAAACGCACCGGCTATGCAAATATACGCACTAAGCGTGTACGGGTTAGTAATGCATAACAAAACACAAGATTCGATTTTAAGTATAAATCTATTCCCTACCAGAAATCATTTAAGCGCGAAGCCACCTACGACTGGACGCAGTACAACATGCTGGTAATGAAGGTACGAGGTGACGGACGCAGCTATCTAATTAATTTGCACACAGAGGGCTATTTTGATCTGATGTGGAATGATATCTATCACTATGTGCTTTTTACACGCGGCGGTCCGCACTGGCAAATAGCCAAAATACCCTTCTCGAAGTTCTTTCTATCCTCAAAGGGTCGCGTACAGGATCGTCAGAGTGCCATACAGTTAAATTGTGTAACGCATTTTGGGTTCTCTGTGGCAGCCAAAAAGGGCATGGATGGGCCTTTCGGCTTGGAAATCGATTATGTTGGATTAGAGTATGATCCCAGCCATCGCGAAGAATTTGCCTACGAAATGTACAAAACACCCAAGTATATTGTAGCTACATAAGGAACAAATGTTCTTTAGTTGTAGAGTAGTAATACGAGGGCGTTCATAATAAATGCACGTTTGTTTTAACCGTTCGCACTCTCTCTCTCTCGTTTCTCGGTCTGCTCTCTTGAATCAGCTGTTTAAATGTTTACAATTGCTCAGCGCTCAGGGTCAGTTGTTTTTGTTGTCTGTTGAAATATACAACTGGTACTGCAATTCGCAATTCGCTTTTACATTTTGAAAGGCGCCCCGATTTTAACAGTTGCTATTGCATTACAGCCATTTAGTGCCGCGCGAGCAGCAGCGCTGGCAATTTTCTTTCGCTCTGCTCCGCTCTTGTCAAATGCCGCCTCAGTCTCACTCTAACTCTTGTTCCTAATAGTTGTTGATAAAAACAGCGAAAAAAACTTCCGCATTGCGTGGGAGCTGCTCTAGTTTTTACCATTTACCATAAGTAAATATTTGATAAAAAAAAATGGTGAGTATTTTTAGCATATGTGAGAAACTGCCAGTAAGAAGAAGCGTAAAACGAGCAACAGCCGACAATGTGACCGTGTAGCGGACATTCACTCACCAGGCCAGCCCGGTGGGTGCGACCTTGAATGGGTTTGCTAATATAATCCTGTTCATAGCAAAAAACACAAAACAGCCGAATCAATAACAACTTTAAACAGTTTGCCGCACTTTAAATACGCTTACATGCATAGTTATAACAGATGTGCCGATTCCTTCTATACAGTAGGCCGACATTTAGATTTTGCTCATATTTTAGAAGTAGAGAAAAGGTTGTAAATGCCAAGTTCCATAAAGTTATGTATCTTGAAAGTTAAACTGAACTTTTAACTAATGGTTCCCATGGGAAGCTATAAATATTATATTATATTTATATATATGTATATATATAATGCAAAAATACAAACATAGCTTCTACTGCGAAATCTACCTCAACATTGGCACATTACGTGATATAAAGAATATACCCTGTGCAAGTGTATTTAAAAGACTACGCATTTTACCGGTTTGCGCTGACGTTTTGAAAACATGTTACCAAAGCATAAAAAAAACCAGTCCAGCAGCAAACGAAAGCGATAGCGCTGAATGAAACCAGTTGCCAGTTACCATTCCTGCTAGCGATTTCAGTTGGTCGGCCGCCTAGCTGTTGTCTGTGCTCTGACTGCGCCGCATTCTGGCTGTCAACCTTATCAATTGCTGACGTTGGCCTTTTTCGTAGACTTCGAAAATGGTGCAATATACGGTAGAAAATAATCAAGTGCAATTAAATCCTACATGCTAATTAATGCTCTCTAATTAATGCTCTGATTTTAGCAGGAAACCTATCTCTACGATCCGAGCGTGTTGCTCAAGCTCGACTTTCATCGCAGCCCAGCCAAATTTCAGCCCTTTATCTCTGCTGCCAGTCCAGGTGAGACGTGGCTGCAGGTGCGTCCGCTGAAGGATACGGACTATGATCGCGGATTTCTGCAGCTGCTGTCACAGCTTACGCATGTGGGCAATGTAACACGCACACAATTTCTGAGTATGTGTCAATCCGTATAAATTGTGTCTAGAAGCTCATGATTCTCTCAATTTGCAGCACGCTTCTCGCAGATGAAGGCCAGCGGCGATTACTATGTGACAGTCATTGAGGATACGCGTAAGGGCGAGATTATTGGTGCCGCCTCGCTCATCATTGAGCGCAAGTTTATACACAATTGCTCAGTGGTAGGTTAAGGATTAATATATGTGATCCATTTAATCACCAACTCATATCACTCATGCTTACAGCGCGGACGCCTGGAGGATGTGGTGGTCAATGACACCTATCGCGGCAAGCAGCTGGGCAAGCTGTAAGTTGGGGAGCACTACAAAAATATTTGCTCTTATTCTATCTGATTTTTCACAACAGCATTGTGGTCACCGTGTCGCTGCTAGCCGAGCATCTGGGCTGCTACAAAATGTCGCTCGACTGCAAGGATAAACTCATCAAGTTCTATGAGACGTTGGGCTATGTGCTCATACCCGGCAACTCCAATTCCATGACCATACGCTACGATGAGGATACGACGGCATTGAAACGTAACACCACCTCCACAGCTGTCACTGGCGATGCCTGCCAAACTGTGAGCCTCGATTTTGCCTCTTGACAATTAGCCGCCAACGCTGCTCCAAAATCCAAGCTTTAGATCAATCTATCTAAAGCTACTGCGCGAGGCGCAATGTAACCCTCATAACAAATGGATTGTCGGCTTAAAAACAACCATTTGATGCATTTATTAAAAAAAAAACTGTTGCACAAACATTTCATTGCGCTTGGCGCATGGATTTTTGGACAGCGCTGGCAGGCGGTGGTGTCTTTGTGGTGCGCGCCATAAAGACATACAATTAGTTAGTATTTATGGCTAAGGCAACCAGCATTTGGTTGTGCTCTATGTTTTTAATTCTTACAGAACTCACAATTTTATAACTTTTTCTCTCCCTTCTGCTACTGAATGTGCGGCGGCGCGCCCATATTAAATATGTAAGGTTGTTGTTATAATGCCCTTCAAGAGCACGTTCATCAAGTAGACGTCATTTTCTAAAAATATAATTATCTTAAAATATTCATATATTATACAGTAATTAAGAATTAACAATACCAACAAGATTTTATTTACAGTTTTTTTTTTGAATGGATGGGGGCGCATTACTTCTTGTAATTTTAATATTCTCAAAACAAATTTTTCTTTAATTTTGGCATCACATTTGGACTCGCAGCTAGTCGCTCGCTATCAGCTTAGGAATAAGCGTAGGGCTCCTCTGGGTGTCAGGAGAAAGCACATAAATGACCACATTTCGGACATTTCGAGTGCTTGGAAAAGTATTGCTGCAAATGCTCGATATGGCCGCCATGGGAGCAGCCCTGACACCAGGCATAGACGCCACGCACAATCAGACCACAGACACAGCACTTGGCTGACTGCATGGACTTGCATTTGTCACAGTACCAGCCCACATTTCCGCCCAAAGGTCGACCACATTCACCGCAATTGGTGTGCATAACTGTCGAGTGTTGATTTAATTGGCGCACAGAGCGCACCCAGGCACGATTGATCACCTCACAGGCCTCGTTCCACAGCTCATAGCGATGCAGCTGATCCACATAGGTGTGAAACCAGTGTTCCTATTGCGAAAGAATCAAACGAAAATTATAATTCCAAATTCGGATGCTTCATAAAGACACTTACCACCACGGCATCCTCGATAGGCAGCAGCTGTCGCGCTTCGCCCATAACAATGAGTATGGTCAAAGCGGTTTGCACATCGCCCACATCATTCTGCAGCATTAGCGCATCTGCCACAAATTGATGTGGCTCCCACATGGGTATGGGCGGCACATGACTGACCTTCAATATACTGGGCACATGCGGTGGCTAAGAAATGTGTGGAAAATATACATTTTAGAACCCAATATTTATATGTAGCAAATCGCATTACTCACTGGCGACTTTTCATGTTCCGTTGCCTTCAAATCTATCTGTGGTCGGGCCGCTTGCACATCATGATGCAGCGCCGTATCCGGAAATGCCACCGCTTTTGTTACGTCCGCGGGTCCAACATAAATGAACCCATTGCGCAATAGCTCAAAGTTATCAAACGTAATCTCGCTAATGATTTGCGTCTCTGAGAGTATCACCGAACTAGTTGGCGGCGGATGTTGATTTCCACCGCCGCCTAGCTCATCGCCATCCTCAGTAGTCTCGGCAGCTTCATGCTGAGTCTCTTGACTATTCCCATTCAGTTCCTGACCCTGCTCGTGTGGCTGGCTCCAATCGCTGGCTACTTGTGTGGCACGACGCGAGCTCATAGGATTTTTTTGGTTGGAGAACGAGGAGCGATGCTCGAAGGGCGGCTCAAAGTGGGTGGTGCCGTAGAAAAGCTTGATGAAGTTCCACAGGGTGGTGGCCTGGATAAAAAAATGTCCATTAATATAAATGCAGCTGCTATTTTATACCCTTGTTTTAATTTTCCGTAAATTAAGCATTGTAGCAAAAAAGAGTATTTAATGTTCGGCACTCTTATTACATTATGTTTTCCGTATTTCCTGGAGACATCCGCATTGTGCTCGCACAGCTCGGCCAGCTTCTTGCCGCTCAGCTGCAATTCCCGAGCGCAGCCAATAAAGACCTCATGCACACGCAGCTCCGTGGTAGTGTCGTGCGCGGGAAATTCAGTGCCTGAGGCCGTGTTCTGTGAAATTTCAAGATGAAGCTATACATTTTTAATTATTTGATTTTTTGAGATTACCGTATTCTTGAGCATAAACATGTACATCTTGGAATGGTCCAGATGAAATTGCATATTGCCAGGAACATTAGATTTGCGGCGACTTCTACAGGATTAGATTTATGAGCAGGCTATTGAAACTACAGAAAACTTTATGACTTACATAAAGTTGGTGCTTTTAGTATTGGATACACCACTCGTCTTTGCTGTATATTCCTTAATTTTGTTGGCAAAGGATATATCCCCATGCCTGCCCAAGCTGGCACCCTGCGCATTGGCTTTCAGGGCCGGCCGCGTGGCATCCTTAAATGCATGCTTATACATCCTGGAATCCTTACTAGTTGAAAGCAAACAATGTGAATCGCTTCCCTGCCACGCAATGTCCGTGGTGACGTTTGTATGCTCATTGAAGGAGGCAAAGGGTATAAAGGGGCGACGTATATCCCACACATGCACGCTATAGTCCACGACCAGGGCACAGCTAGCTATGTGATAACTGCCGATAAGGAAAGGAAAAAAGTGTTAACCGGATTTGTCCTTTTAAATTATATACATATGTAAAATTGTAAATATAAATGACTTACGTTCGCTCTGGTCGCCATTTGACGCGACCAACAACAGCTATCGTATGAATGGTGTACTCTAAGTTGGCTCGTCCGTCCATGTTCCACACCTTTATCTGCTTATCCCGGCTGCCAGTGGCCAGCCAATTGCGTGTGGGATGCCAATCGCAGGTATAGATGGGTCCGCTGTGTGCCGTGAACTGTACCATGCACTTGTCCCACTTACGCATATCCCAGAGCTGAACGGTGCCATTCTCCGACACGGCGGAAAACACATTCGGCGAGTGGGGTGAGAACTTAAGATCGCGCACAGATTCCGAGTTGCTAAAGTATGTGTTCACGGACGTATCGGAGCGTATGTCAAAGCACTTGATGGTGCCATCCTGTGAGCCGGAGATCAGTATATTTGGCTCCGTACTGTGAAATGTGACTGTGTGAGCAGTTCGCTCATGCTCATGGTAGACCAGCAACTGCTTTTGTCGGCCAAACTTGGACAGATCCCAAACGGACACAACGCCATTTGTGGCAGCCGTGGCCAATATATTGCTATCTAGTGTACTCCAGGCAACATCATTAGAAGAATAGCTCAGATTTTGGTTTTTACCACGCATATTGCACACCTCCGTGAAGCCATCGCTGTCTATCTCATAGACCTTAAGCACTGGAAGGAAATATTTGGATCATTTCGCATCTCAAGAGTGTAAGAGCTGTGCTTACAGCTACGCCCGGCAACTGCAATCTGATTATGATCCTTGTTTAAAGCCAGGGCATTGGCATGCCCCTCCGAGCAGATACGGATCGATACTGTGGAAGGATCTGCCTCCTCTGACGTATCCGGCATTTTGCTTTAATTTTAAACCGTTTATGAAAAGCGAACTCTTTGGCCTTTATCGCAAAACAATAACATTAAAATTAACATAGATATAAGTATTGCTGCACGGTTATTAACAGCGATAATAACATTACTTTACAATAAAAAAAAACTTTTCTAATTAGGTAAAGCTCATATTAAATATTCAGCTTATATTAAAAATGAATAATAATACAATTACTCATTACTTTATATTATAGTTATATTATTATTGTTATGATACTTTAATCCAATCGGCTTATCATTTAGCTCCTTATTGAACGGCTGCTCCACCGATGTAAATAAAATCTTCAGCATCGGTGGCAACTCTGTGTTATCATCAATCGACAAAAACAGATGGCTGGTGGCTTTGACGAAATTATTGTTGCATTAGAATTTTTAAAACATACACATATCAAATGCCGGACATTAAAATAACACCATTGGGAGCCGGTCAGGATGTGGGCCGCAGCTGTCTGTTACTTTCGATGGGTGGGAAAAACATAATGCTCGACTGCGGCATGCACATGGGCTACAACGATGAAAGACGCTTTCCGGATTTCTCGTATATTGTGCCGGAAGGACCCATTACGAGCCACATTGATTGTGTCATCATATCGCACTTTCATTTGGGTGAGTACCAAATAATAACCGTCAAAGCCATTAGGTAGGCCTTCTAATTATCGCCATATATGTGTAGATCACTGCGGCGCTCTGCCCTATATGTCGGAGATAGTGGGCTACACGGGGCCCATATACATGACTCATCCCACCAAGGCTATAGCACCCATTCTGCTCGAGGATATGCGAAAGGTGGCCGTTGAGCGGAAGGGCGAGTCGAATTTCTTTACCACACAAATGATCAAGGATTGCATGAAGAAGGTAATACCCGTAACACTGCACCAAAGCATGATGGTGGACACAGATCTAGAGATCAAGGCCTACTATGCGGGCCATGTTCTGGGCGCTGCAATGTTTTGGATCAAGGTTGGCTCACAGAGTGTTGTATACACCGGTGATTATAACATGACACCGGATCGGCATTTGGGCGCTGCCTGGATTGACAAATGCCGGCCAGATTTACTCATAACGGAGAGCACCTACGCGACAACAATACGAGATTCGAAGCGCTGCAGAGAACGAGATTTCCTAAAGAAAGTCCACGAATGTGTTTCAAAAGGTGGAAAAGTTCTGATACCCGTCTTTGCACTGGGGCGAGCGCAGGAGCTTTGCATATTGCTGGAAACATATTGGGAACGCATGAACCTCAAGTATCCGATATACTTTGCGCTGGGTCTGACCGAAAAGGCGAATACCTACTATAAAATGTTTATAACCTGGACAAATCAGAAAATCCGCAAGACGTTTGTGCATCGCAACATGTTTGATTTTAAACACATAAAACCCTTCGATAAGGCTTATATAGACAATCCAGGTGCGATGGTTGTATTTGCCACACCTGGCATGCTGCATGCCGGACTCTCGCTACAAATATTCAAGAAATGGGCGCCCAACGAAAACAATATGGTAATAATGCCCGGCTATTGTGTCCAGGGCACGGTGGGCAACAAAATTTTGGGTGGTGCCAAAAAAGTCGAATTCGAGAACCGTCAGGTCGTCGAGGTCAAAATGGCCGTCGAGTATATGAGCTTTTCAGCGCATGCCGATGCCAAGGGTAATATATTAAACAAGTTTTTCAAGTCATATTTATAAACTTATTTTCCTTTCAGGCATTATGCAGCTCATCCAGAACTGTGAGCCAAAGCACGTAATGCTTGTGCACGGCGAGGCGGAGAAAATGAAATTCCTGCGCGCCAAAATACGGGATGAGTTCAATTTGGAAACATACATGCCAGCCAATGGGGAAACCTGTGTGATTTCCACTCCCGTGAAAATACCCGTAGATGCCTCCATTTCATTACTAAAAGCTGAGGCTCGTTCCTATAATGCCCAGCCGCCAGATCCAAAGCGCCGACGTCTCATACACGGCGTCCTCGTGATGAAGGACAATCGCATTATGCTCCAAAATCTGACGGATGCACTCAAAGAGATTGGCATCAATCGGCATGTCATGCGTTTCACATCAAAGGTAAAAATGGATGATCCGGGACCAAAGTTGCGAACCAGCGAAAAGCTCAAAGCGCTGCTGGAAGAGAAGCTGACCGGTTGGACGGTGACAATGCAGGAGAGCGGTATCATAACCATTGAGAGCGTAGAAATCAATGTGGAAGAGGACGAAAAGGATCCCAAACAAAAGACTATACTGATCACTTGGACTAACCAAGATGAAGATATTGGCGCCTATATACTGAATGTCCTGCAGAATATGTGTTAGCACCACAAGGAATAATTCAGGGAAGCAACAGCGGCCAGTTTCGATATGGCCTTAACGTGTCCGGCACGATTCCATAGATGTTAAGTAAAAAGTTTTGATTGTAATTCTGGTTATTTGAAGACATACTAAAATACATTTCACAACTATTTTCCAAACAATAATCAAGCGCAGTGGTCGTTTTGATGGGGTTTTTTTTTATAAATGTTTTTACATCTATAAAATCTATTCGGTCACCACTGTAGAATTTTTTCTAACCGTTTTTCGGACCGTTTCTACAAATCGGTCAAATATAGAAGTGGTCCACTCGCGGAATTGAAAGTTAAATGTAAAACACCAAACTTGTAGTTTCCAACAAAAACGTATTTTGGAACTATTTCCAATCTTAACTACAAATTCGAAAAATTCGTTCCACGCTATTTATTCCGGTTTTATCTCAGATAATTATAAGTTTTAAATCATTTAATACGCAGCTTCTGGCGTCTTCGAATCGTAATCAATCGTAATAATTAGGTTTGGATGAAATCGTTGAGGCTAAAGCTGCGACTCGAACTGGAGTGTGTGTTTCGAGGACACTTCTTATGAAAGAGCAGCGGCACCGGAGATGATTTCAATCAGCTCACGTGTGATGACAGCCTGTCGGGTGCGGTTGAATGTGAGAGTCAGTTTCTCAATCATTTCACCAGCGTTCTTTGAGGCGTTGTCCATGGCAGTCATACGCGACGATTGCTCAGAGCAAGCGCCCTCCTTCATGGTGTAGAAGATGAGCGAGGCCAGTGAGAACTCCAGATAGCTCTTGATGACATCGCTATCGAGCGAATCGTAAACGGCCAGCTTCTCCGACTTCTCCACAGTGGCGCCACTGTAGATGGGCAATGAGGTGCACTGGTACGAAACCACAGACTTGAATCTGTTGTACACGATCTTGCCCTCGGTGTACTCGTAGCCAGTCGACAAGACTTCATGCGCAATCTTGGAGGCATCCAGGAAGGTGGGTGGCAGACGGCCCACTTCGTTGGCCACCATTAGGATGTTCTTGCCGTACAGACGGGACAGAATGGCACGCGACTTGTCACCAACGCAGAACACCATGGTGTTCGTACTCTCCTTTTGTAGTTCACCACGGATTGTACGCGCAACGCCGGTGTGCACGGCACCGCAGAGGCCACGATCCGATGTCACGGCAATCAGGAGCTTCTTGGGCTCAGCGGCGCCATCAGGCTGGATTTCGGTTTTCTCAAAGAATTGTTGAGCACCAACGCCGTACGGACGCGCTGCCTTTAAATCACGCTCGGCACGGGAGTATTTGGCCGCGGACACCATCTTCATTGATTGCGTAATTTTTTGGATGTTCTTCACGGATTTGAGGCGCATCGAAATATGCTTCAATGTGGCCATGCCACGTTGCTGCTGGGCCACAATGGTGGCTTCAAAAGCCAATGGCAGCAAAAGCGCAGTACGTTGCATCATCATCCTGTGAGCTGTTGAAGTTCCTACACAAAAAATTAGCACAAAAAATTGTATGAACGTACAGCGAAAATTCACCTGCGTGAAGTTGGCAGCGAGACGAATGTTATAACACAGGGCGGTGTTGCCAGATTAGGCAACTGTCAAGTGGGTACTGTGAATGTTAGCAGTCGCTGGGAATGGCAAGCTAGTACTTGAGTCGAATGAATAAATGAAAATTTCAGACACACCGTAGTTTCTTGTAGTTATAATTATATTTTCATTAAGTTTTTTAATATATTTGTTTTAATCGGTATATGGTAATTAATTAGTCAATCGATTACATACGAAGTCAGCTGCTCAACTATTCGATTGTGCACCCCTATTTCGCGTTTCATCACTAAAGCAACCAAAAGCAAGAGGAAGCAAAAAGCTGACGTACTCGGGAAAAGTTTAGAATTAATTAAGCAATACTTATTAGGCAAAACGCTGTAGTTTATAATGTAACATAGTGCAATAACAAACGCATTAGTCTTTAATTTTGCATTAAGCCCAAATACCGAATGATTGTAAAACACAAAAGTATGTTGGAAAATTGTTGCTGCTGTGAATAGGAAACCGAACAACAGAAAGTAGAAGACCAAGTGCGTTGGCCAGCCAAATTGTTGATGAAATTCAGATATATGTAGATGATATTGAAGCCTTAATATCCAAAACGTTAACAGCTGGCTCAAAACAAAAGGAATACAATAAATGCAAACGGCTGAAAAGTACGTAGCAGGCAGTGGTGGTGGTGCTGTTTGTGGTGGTGTACACGCATTAACGTTAACATCTCTCTATCTCTCTTGGCAGCGCCTCTCTTCTACTGCCTTAAACAATAGTCAACACAGCAACACAGACAGCAACAGCTGTGTGTGTGCGCGCGTGTGTGTACGTGCGTGTGCGGGTGTGTGTGTGTGTTGTCGCATTTTGTGTGTGTCTGGACGTAACAAAATATTGAGCCGTCGAGCAAAACACATGATGTGGTCGTTCTTTTCGCGCGACTCCTTCAAAGACTTTCCATATGACATTGGCGAACCCGTTGCTGGCTTTGACAATTATTCCATATGGACACTGCACAAGGCCAAGCGCAAGGGCACCCTCGAGGAGGTATCTGTCTTTGTCTATGACATACGCAGCGGCTCCGATACGAAATGTGAGCTGGCCAAGGCGGCGCTGAAACGCCTGAAAACGTTGCGTCATCCGAGCATACTACAATATCTGGAC